TTTTTTTTTTTTTTTTAATGTTTATCTTTATTTTTGGGACAGAGACAGAGCACGAGAGGGGGAGAGGCAGAGAGACAGGGAGACCCCGAATCCAAAGCAGGCTCCAGGCTCTCGGCACAGAGCCTGACTCAGGGCTCGAACTCGTCAACTGTGAGATCATGACCCCAGCCAAAGTCGGAAGCTCAACCGACTGAGCCACCCAGGTGCCCCTACATATAATGATTCTTAAAGAGTGTTTTGAAAGGTGCTCTTCCTTCCTTTTCTTGAAGGAGGCCAGCTAACATCATTACTAGTAGAAAAGGAACGATCTCTTACTTCTTTTTGCTCAAAGTGGTTCAGGTTTTAGCAATACTATCTCTTCCTTGAAAAGAAATCATGTTTCTTTTTCAAAGGCTGAAAAGTTATAAAGAGTTTTTACTTTTGGAATAAACCTGGTTTTGGCACGTTAACTGTTAAGTGTTTTGAGAGCTCATCATTCATATGTTCTGTTTTTTCTCCTTAACTATTGTGTAAGTCAGGAATTGTGTTGTATTATGTAATGTTATGAGTAATGAATGTTAAAAAGCTGTATGTTGAACCATACCCTGCCTTGTAGCAAATATATATTTTGCAATGACTTGTAGGAATCTGTATGTGTGCATGGTAAGCAAATGTGTCATGCTGTCTTTCTTCTGGAAAGACATTTGGACACCATGCTTTTTTCATTGAATTCAGTTAACCTACAGTGTAAAATAAATGTTTGAGAGTATTGCTTTTAAAATTTCCTGTATAAAACATGCCTTCATATTGATCCTTGTCAAAAATAGAAGCATATTTTGTAACAGTAAATTGAGAAAGCAGTACATTAAAATATCTGTTTAACATTACGGAATACAACACAGTTCCTGACCTGAAACTGAAAAAAAATTCTAAATCTATTTTTTGTTTTTAATTGTGGTAAAATAGGCATAAAATACAATTTACCATATTAATGCTTTTATTTTCTTTTATTTATTTTTTTAAAGTTTTATTCATTTCAGTAATCTCTGCATCCAATGTTCCAATGTGGGACTTGAACTCATGACCTGGAGATCAAGAGTTGTGTGCTTCTCCAACTGAGGCAGCCAGACACCCCCCCCCCCATTTTAACCATTGTAAAGTGTAGAGTTCGTAGTGTTAAATATATTCATGTTGTTATGCAACCACTCCCCAGAACCTTTTCATCTTGTAAAACCGAAACTCTATACCCATCAAATAACAGTTCTTCATTTCCTCCTCCCTCCAGCCCTTGGCAACCACCTTCTACTTTCTGTTTCTATGAGTTTGACTATTCTACACACCCCATATAAGTGGAATCCTATAGCATTTGTTTTTTTGTATTTGGCTTATTTCACTTAGTGTAATATCCTCGAAGTTCATCTATATGGGTAGCATGTGTCAGTTTCCTGCCTTTTTAAGACTGAGTAATATTCCATTATATGTATCATACCACATTTTTTTTCTCCATTCCTTTGTCAAGGGCATTTGGGTGCTTTCCACCCTTTGGCGGTTGTGACTAATGCTGCTGGTTTCTTAACTTTTGCTTCTAGTTGGTTTTGCTTCTTTGTACTTCAAATGAGCTTCCTTCCTTTCCACACAACTGTTGCTTGTCTGTGATTTTTACATCAGTGGCTGAGGTAGACATCATTCTGGCTGGCTTTTGCAGTCATTGTTTCTCAGAGTACCTGCGGTAACCTGGCTGTCCTGTTCTGTGTAACGCCCACCACTCTGTAGGTGGCGATTTGTCTACACCCTTGAGTTCAGAGGAAGACCGGGTGAGGGGACCCTGGTTTTCTTTTATTCTTTGTGTAGCTACTGGGGAAAAGGACATTATATGAGACAAAAGAAACATTGTAGTACCATCTTTAGAGAGACACTTCATCATGATGAAATGAAGAAAAAATGATAGTGAGTTAGTTGATATTTCAAACATCAACATCCGCAGGAATGAAGTCACCATCTGACTTTCAGAAATGCCAATGGAATGATTTAGCTTAGTAACTAGCGGAGACCCTTTTAAATTTTAATTACGGAGTTTAACTTATTAGCTGTTAGGATTCACTTATATAGAGAAGATTAATGGTATGTATAATGATAATAATAATAATAGGTTTCTAACACTATTTTCTAAAAGTAAGTATTTTTAAATAAACAGAACTGAAGAGCCAACCTGGACATGCATATTTGGAAGCATTGAAAACACTGAAAGATATACTAAATGATTCAGAAAGTAAGGCCCAGACATCTTTGAATGTCTTGAATGATCTCATAAAGGTGGAGAAAACCCTGCAGGAGAAAAAGGTAATATATATTGTAGGTCTTAGAAGTCTGGAGTCCTTTTTAATACCACATATCACTTATTTTGAAGTATATTTTCAGCTACCTAAAAAAATATTAGCTATTTGTGGTCAAAATTGATGAAAACTCCTTATAATTTGAATGTTAGTTACTATAATGTAGGACGTCAGTTGAAAGAAACTTATTAAATATGACTGATAAAATAAAAGCATATTTTGTCCTTCTATTACAATTAGTCTAGAATTCTCAACCTGTTCATAATCTGGTAAAATGTCTTGAATAAAATGAATATTACTTGAATTGATGTGTTCTTTTTTCTGTGTTGAATAAAAATGCTTCTCTGGTCATTCAGGATATGTGACTGTGCGTTATTTCATCAGATAAAACAGATCAGCCATTGAGCACTGCACACTGGATCCTCACTGAGTGTATTGTTATACTGGATTTTAGTGTGGAGAATATATTATTTCTGGCCCATGCACAACTCATGAAGGGAAAGCTTTAACGTTTTTTGGTTATGCTTATTTTTCTTTCATGATTTTTACACAATTCTTTTTTAGTTGAATACCTCTTAAAAAGTGACCTTAGTCTGTGTTATAGCCCGTATTATTACATGTGTACAAATTATTGTGTGTATTTTTAATCTTTAAAAATTTTTTCCAGGCTCTTGATGAAATCCTTGAGAATCAAAAACCTACATTATATAAACTTGCAGAAGAAACAAAGGCTTTGGAGAAAAATGTTTCTCCAGATGTAAAAACAATGTATAAGCAAGAATTTGATGATGTTCAGGGAAAGTGGAACAAACTAAAGGTCAAGGTTTCCAAAGATCTTCATTTGCTTGAAGAAATTACTCCCAAACTTGGAGCTTTTGAGGTAAATCCAGAGGCCATTAGGACTTTATCAGAGAGTAAAATGGTAATTTATCATGTAAGACTCTAGTATGTATTATTTGGATATTTTGCATTTTTTTCTAGTCCCACATTTATTATGTATATAAGTTGGGATTTCTGACTTGCTCTTACTGTGCTGGAGAACACATTTGTTTTTGTTTTTTTGTTTTTTGTTTTTTGTGGTTTTTTTTTTGCTTTGCAAGAGAGCTTCTTGGTAGAGGTGAACTGGATCTTAAAGAAAGAGAAAATTGCTTAAAACTGGTCAAAGTAATGTTTCAGGGATGAGGAGCTGGCATGATATTCAGACCAGTGATTAGGTTTCAGGGGAACTTGGTTAGAGTGGTAAAATTGCCCACCTCGTACCAGACAGATGAATGCTTGAAGCCGGTTTTTGAAGACTTCTTGAGACAAATCTGAGCTAGGCTGTCAATAAACGGTGTCATATTGGGAAAGCAGGTCAATTGAGGGACATGAAAATTCAGAAGTAGAATCCTTTCCTACATCTGAAAATGTTGACAGATGAAGCAGTGATGAAGTTCCAGAGGAAGGGGCAAATGTTAGGACCTAAGGAGAAAGTGATAAAAGTCAATGTCAGGTAAGACAGGATTTTAACGTTTCATCTGGGAGGAAGATGGAGAGGTGGTCTCCAGAAAATCACCTGGTTTTCTGTTAGAAAAGGTCTGGATGAAGAATAAGTCCATCACACTCTGTTCTCCGTCCTCCTGATATCTCCTTATTTTGATCTGTCGTGTTTTGTTTTGTTTTCCCACTGTTGTATCTCAAGATAGACTTACGGTATAGTGCCTGGCACAGAGGAGGCACTCAGTAAGTATGTTTCAATGAATGAAATGAAATTAGTAATAGATTTAAATTTGGATATATATTAATATATAATATAATATATTGTATATATATACATATATTTGGATTTAGTTTCCAAGAGAGTATATAAATGAGATGATTTACATATATATAAAATATATGTGTCATATGGATGTGAGAATTTGTGTGAAGCATGTGATAAAGTGAAAAGATTGAAAATTAAGACAAAATTTATGAAAGTGATGTTTTAAAAATCAAAACAGGGAATATGTGGTAGAAGAGAGGCTGGTGGACTCTACAGATCAGTGTGAAGGTTCCAGAAAGATGAGACAAGAGGGGTGACCACTGAACTGCCCCAGTGGGCAGTTCCAATGAGTGACCAGGAGAATAAAGATAGTGAGGTTTCTTTCTCTCTCTCTCTCTCTCTCTTTCTCTCTCTCTCTCTCTCTGTGTGTGTGTGTGTGTGTGTGTGTGTGTGTGTGTGTGTGTGTGTATGTGTTGGTAGCGGAAGGAATTTTTTTTCTAAGTGTAAACTTCAGTTTTATACCAAGGCTGAGCTCTCCTTAGAATAAAGCATTAATTTTGGGGCGTGTGGGTGGCTCAGTCAGTTAAGTATCCAACTTCAGCTCAGGTCATGATCTCAAAGTACGTGGGTTTGAGCCCCCGTCAGGCTCTGTGCTGACAGTCCAGAGCCTAGAGCCTGCCTCAGATTCTGTTTGTCCTCTCTCCGCCCCTCCCTGACTTGCACTCTGTCTCACCCTGTCTCTCAAAAATAAATAAATGTAAAAATAAAATAAAATAAAAAAAGAATAAAGCATTAATTTTGAAGAGGAGTGTGTTATGTGTAGCTTAGTATTTTTGAATCATTTTACTTTGTGAGTGGATCCACTTCTCCTTATCTGCCTTCAGTTACAATTCTCACAACTTAAAAAAAACAGAATTACCCTTACTCATGATTGTAAAATTTTGGTTATGGCTCAGGCATTGCATTATCAGTGGGGCCCAACTGAAGTGATTTTGTACCCTGCCCCCCTCCCCCCAGGACATTTGTTAATGTTTGGAGATTTTTCTGGTTGTCACAACTTTAGGGGGAGGGGGTGTGCTCTTGGCTCCTAGCGTGCAGAGGCCAAGGTTACAGCTAACGCACAGAATTCCCTCACAAAAAAAGAATTTTCTGGCCCTAAATGTCAATAGTGTGAAGGTTGAGCAATGCTGGATTAGAGATTTCTCATCTTTTCTAAAGAGCATTGCTTTGCTTTCAAGTTTAAATCTGAGATGCAGTTAGGGAAATTAACAGGTTAATTTTCTTTGGACTTGCAAAAGTGTATTTTAGGGTTACCTAAATGTGTGTCAATATTTTAATACGGGTTTAAAGAAAAGAAATAGTCTTCCAAAACACAGAAGAGAGTCCTGTGGTTAGAGTAATCCAGCTTTAGGCTTTCCTGCACTGTTGTTACTCATGTAGCCAGTCCAGGCACTGGCATTTGGAATGTGTGCCAAATTTACTTACATAACGAATACCCCAGATATTTAGACTTTTTAGTTGTTTTCACAGTAGCAGATTTGTAAAGTCCAGCTATTCTTTATTTTTTGTGTTTAACTACAAGATTGTTGACAGTGTTTGTATTCCTTAATTGTGCAACCTCTTTATTGAAATATATGTGTGTGTGTGTGTGTGTGTGTGTGTGTGTGTGTGCATGTGTGTGTGTATTTTAATTTTTTTTAATGTTTATTTTTGAGAGAGAGAACGCGCGCGCATGCGGGGCAGAGAGAGAGAGAAGGACACAGAATCCGAAGCAAGATCCAGGCTCTGAGCTGTCAACACAGAGCCCGATGTGGGGCTCAAACTCACAAGCTGTGAGATCACAACCCATGCCGAGTCGGCCGCCCAACCGAGAGCCACCTAGGCACCTCATATTTTTTAATTCTGAAGAAAACTTTTACTCCTGTATTTGCTTTGTTTTGCAGCATTGCTTTGTTACTTAATTACTTATGGGTCATTTAGGACAACTTAATTTTTCACCCAAGGCTAATTACAATAAATATTCATTTGCAGGTTAGCATTTTTTCCCCCTTTTCAATGACGCGATGTACACTTTTTGGCCATTTAAATTCTATTTGTCTTTAAGGCATGAGGCACAGTAGGCTTTTGATTCATTGTTATTTTACGATGGTGTTTCTTAGGAAAAAAGTGGTTGGCTTGTTTATTTTTAAAATGGATTTTTAATTATATAAGTAATGCACAGAGACTGTTCATTGTGAAGAAATTGAATAATAGAGAAGTATTTAGAGTGAACATTTAGAGTCTCCCCCCGCCCCCATACCATTTCCTTTCCTGAAGGCAGTTAATATTAACAATGGGTCCCATGGAAAGACATTACATGCTCATAGATTGGAAGAGCAAAGTTAAAATGTCTATACTAGCCAAAGCAGCCTACATATTTTGTGCAGTCCCTATCAAAATACTAACAGCAGTTTTCACAGAACTAGAACAAACAATTCTAACATTTGTATGGAATCACAAAAGACCCTGAATAGCCAAAGCAATCTTAAAAAAGAAAAAGCTGGAGGCATCATAATTCTGGACTCCAAATTATATTATAAAACTGTAGTAATCAAAACAGTATGGTACTGGCACAAAAATAGACACAGATCAGTGACACAGAATAGAAAACCCAGAAATAAACCCTCAGTTATATGGTCAATTCATCCTCGACAAAGCAGGAAAGAATATCCGATGGGAAAAGGACAGTCTCTTCAACAAATGGTGTTGGGAAAACTGGACCACCACATGCAAAAGAAAGAAACTGGACCATTTTCTTATACCTTACAGAAAAATAAGTTCAAAATGGATTGAAGACCTAAATGTGAGACTTGAAACCATAAAAAAACCTAGAAGAGAACATAGGCATTAGTAACCTCTTTGACATTGGCCATAGCAACTTCTTTCTAGATATATCTCCAGGGAGACAAAAGCAAAAATAAACTATTGGGGCTACATCAAAATAAAAAGCTTATGCATAGCAAAGGAGGTAATCAACAAAACTAAAAGGCAGCCTTCGGAATGGGAGAAGGTATTTGCAAATCACATATCAAATAAAGGGTTAGTATACAAAATACATAAAGAACTTATATAAAAACTCAACACTCCCCAAATCACTAATCCAATTAAGAATGGACAGAAGACATGAATAGACATTTCTCCAAAGAAGACATACAGATGGCCAAAAGACACATGAAAAGATGCTCAATATCACTTACCATCAAGGAAATACAAATCGAAACTACAATGAGATAATCACCTCACACCTGTCAGAATGGCTAAACTCAAGAACACAAGAAATAACAGGTGTTGGTGAGGATGTGGAGAAAAAGGAACTCTCATGCACTGTTGGTGGGAATGCAAACTGGTGTAGCCACTCTGGAAAACAGGATAGAGGTTCCTCAGAAAGTTAAAAGTAGAACTACTCTGTGATCCAGCAATGGCATTAATGGGTATTTACCCAAGGAATAAAAAAACACTAATTCAAAGGGATACATGTACTCTTATGTTTATAGGAGCATTATTTATAATAGCCAGGATATGGAAGCATTAACTGATGAATGGGTAAAGAAGCTATACATACCGTGGAATATTACTCAGCCATAAAAAGAATGAAATCTTGCCATTTGCCATGACATGGATGGATCTAGAGAGTATAATGCTAAGCAAAATAAGACAGAGAAAGACAAACATGTTATTTCACTCATATGTGGAATTTAAGAAACAAAACAAACATGCAAAGGGAAAAAGATACAAACCAAGAAACAGATTCTTAATTATGGAGAACAAACTGATGGTTACCAGAGGGGAGGGGGCTGGGGGCTGGGTGAAATAGATAATAGGGATTAAGGAGGGCGCTTATGATGAGCATGGGGTGATGTATGGAATTGTTGAATCACTGTTAAAAAAAAGGGTTCTTGCTAGAGGCTAACATATTCCAAGTAAAAAGGGAAAGCTTATGAATGTTATTAATTTTAATCATTTTTTTCACCCTAATAGAAACAAATGATGTTGGAGCTCCATGAGGGACATTTAAGTAGTACACAGATACATGAACTTGGAGTATGAATCCCCTACTGAAAATAATGATGATGTCTTTTATTGGCACAGCACATTTA